TGTGTGTGTGTGTGTGTGTGTGTGTGTGTGTGTGTGTGTGTTGGTGTGAGACTGTGCAGACAGCCAGCTTGGAGGGTCATGTGCAGCTGGCTATCTGTGTGGCCAGGCTGGGGGTGTGGTGTCTGCACGTGTCTGCTTGTGTAACACATTATAGGAAGGGGTGGCACACGAGACTGTGTTCAGCCTCTGGCATTCGGATGCCCCTTGGGCTCAGCGCTGGGTGTGTCAGAAGGGGCGCTCACGGGGCACAGGCCTGGGCTGCAGAAGGGAGTCCGGAGGGCCATCGTCCTGTGGAACATGTTGGAGAGTCAGGGCTAGCGACAAACAACTCTGGGTGGAATGACTCAGAGTGAGCGGGTTTTGGAAGCCAGGCTACTGTGAGTGGGAATGACAAGGTGCCCCTGGCAGTCTGGAACCAGGAGGTGCCCAGCTTGAATCCAGAACTCTCTGGGACTTCTCCCAGCCTTCCACTTGATTGTGGCCAACATTCCACAAAGGGGGAAGATTCTCCCTAACCCCAGAACTCCCCAGCCCTCCCCTCTGAGAGCCAGAGGGTCCTCACGGAATAGCAGCCGCCCCTTCCTGCTGACCCTGGCTTTTAAGGACAGTACCTTAGGGCAAGGACTCTACCTCCATAGCTGGTCCTGGGAGCTGGGCCTGCCCTCCATGCTCACAAGCCTGTCATGCATCCTGCATTAGTGGATACCTTGTCCCCATCATCCATCCTCACAGCTGTCATCATCCATCACCACCACCCCCAACCCCCACTACCAGTTCCTGTCAGCTCCAGGCCCTACTTCAAGTCAACATCCTAACTGTGGCCATGACCAGCAGCCTCCTTCCATGACCCACTCTGGCCTCATAACCCCTAACACATTCTCTGAAGTCCTAGCTAACCTTAGATATCCCCTCTGACCACTGCTCTCTGCCTGGACACCCCCTGTCACCTGCCCAGGTTTCCACCCCCTCCCCACATCTCTGCTCCCAACACTTCCACCTGCCCCTCCCCCTTCCCAAGCCTGGCCCCCAGGACAGAGACTGTTAATCTAGCCCATTTCTTTGTTCCCTGTCTTCCTGGTCCCACCACCCTAACCAATTCTCTGCTTGGCATCTTCCCCTGCATGGACAGACGATCTTAGGCTGATGTGACTTCAGATCCAGCCATCAAAGCCACCAGCCTGCCTGGGACTGCAGCCACTCAGCTCCCTGGCCCTCCTTCCACAGTGGGACGATCACCAGGCTCCTGCAGTTCCCTCCAGCAGCCCTCCTGACCACTCTCCTCCCTCCACAGCATATCCCACAAGCATCCACGTCACCTGTGCCCAAAGGAAAGCAAGCAGAGTGGGCCTTCGTGAGTTTCACGTGGCCTCCCCTCTACTGCCCCTCAGCTCTTGCCCCCCCCCCAGCAGGCATGTTCCCTGACTTCCCAGTCATCCTCCCCACCCCCACCTCTCTCTCTCAGTGGTTCTCTCAGAAGCCACAGGGACTCTGTGTAGACGCATGCAGTTAGGCTCGGCAGAGCCCACCCCCTCTCAGGCTCTTAGCACTGAAGCCGCTTGAGTCCCCTGCTTCCAGAGAAGCCCCTGCCTGGACTAGGTATGTGCGTATATGTGTGTCCACATGTAAGCCTGTGTGAACGGGTACCCATACCTCTATGCATACTTGTTCACACAGATATGTACATGTTATTGCCTGTGTCCTGGAGTAAAGTATGTATGCATGTATGTACACATGTGTAGATGCTTGTATGTGCAAACTCCCTGTACGTTAACTGTGTCCGGGGCCCATAGGGCTACCCTCTCCCTCTCTACCCTGGACAAGCTCTTCTAACCCCCTCAGTGTCTATGCCTATCTCAAGGCCTACAGTGACTACATCCCCATCTCCAGCTCAGGCGTCTCTGCACCCCAGGGTAGCTCCCAGTACAGTATTCATCTCCCTGTGTTCGAATGCCTCCACACAAACTGGCGTCCGTGGGTGCCCTGCCACACACCCTAACCTCTCCCACGGTGCAATCCAACACGCAAAACTGACAGATGTTCAAAATGAAGGGATAGACTAGAGGACAGGGTGAGGATGGGTCAGGGACAGTGTGGGGAGAGGTGAGCATCATACCACACAGACCACCCACCTGGGTCAGATCTGTGTCACTTTGTTACGATCCTGTTTCCTCTTCTTCATCCTCCTCCTCCTCCTCTTCTTCCTCTTCCTCATCTGTGTGGCCCCGGTCCTTGGAAGTGCCACCAAACTCAAAGTTGCCTTCAATGTCCAAGACCTGCAGGTGTTTCAGCCTCCGGAAGGCGCTTTCCACCACGGAGCCCACGGCCAGCTTGTTGAATCTGAGTGGTGGTCCGTGGGTCAGTGTCAGGAGCCCAGGCTGATGCCCTCATGCCTGCCCAGCTCAGAAGGGAAGAGGGCAGGGAGTGGGTGTCTGGGAAACGGCACAGCAAGTTGTAAAGGCAGGGGACCAAGAAGCATGGTACACCATGGCAAGCAGACCTGCTGGGGCACTGACAGCTGGGAGGAAGGGACGAGCAGACGACTGTCATCTACAGGGCAAGAGAAGCCTCCCGCTCTGCACACTCTTACTTCATCCATAGAGGGGGCAGCCATGGGAGTTGCCTCTGCTGCCCTCTGGTACTAACCCCGAGATCTGACTGGTACACAGGCAAGGCCAGAGCTGAGCAGGTAAGGGATGTACTCAGTCCTGACTTTAGGCCCAACAGTGCCTCAACTCTGCTCAGAAGCCGGAGTCACACCACCCCGGTGTCACCACCCTGGGCCTTCTGCTATCTTCTGTTCTGTCTGATTTGGGGGGGTCGGGTCGAGCGGGGTGTGGGAGGGGTTGAGAAGAAGTCATAGTCCGTGGGGTCTGAGTTCCCTGAAGTCCTCACCCCAGAGCCCAGTGGGACCTAGGCACCTGCGTTCTTGGTCTGACCCCGAGCCCCACCTGGCTGGCTGTGAACATAGCCGTCACCTGTGTCTTCACAGCTGCGGGTCAGCAAGATGCTCTCTGGGCCTCCTCCCGTAACCACTTACACATCAACACCACCCTACACTAGTCGTTAATGTTTCTGATGCCCACTAGCAAACCCATGAGCCACCGCGGGCCTGCCAGAGCTCTGCTCACACTCTTCCTGCACGCTACGCCTCCGTGGTGTCTCAACTGCCCATCTACTGTTAGATGTGTAGGGGGCTGGGTACAAGTGGGGCTTCGGGGACTTCCTACCTGAGAAAGATCCCCTTGAGGTTGGGAGTGGAGTCAAAAGCGTTGGCAGGAACAGAGCTGATCTTGTTATTCTGCAGGTACAGGTACTCGAGCGATGGGGGGAGCCCCTGGGGGATCTCTGTGAGCTGGTTCCCAGCGATGTCCAGCAGCTGCAGAGGTGAGCAGAGGAGTCAAGGACACTCCCATCTGCGCACAGCACTTAACAGCTTACAGACTCCCACCACGCTGCAGTCTATTGGCATCTAATGGGAACCCCCAGTGGGGTGGGGGTAGCAACCCATGTTTTCCAGGTGGGGAAACGGCTTAGCTAGGTTAATCCACCTCTAAGAGGCTAGAACACACTGTGCCAGACTCCGAGTACTGTTTCTCATTGATGTAGACTCTACCCAGTCCTTTCTCTGCCTTTGCACATGGGAGTCATGGCCAAGCTGCCTGCATGTCATAGCATTTCCTCCTTAATCCACCTGTCACTTCCATCAGACTAGACACGCCGGGATCCACGGGTGCGGGTCACACGTGCAGGGGCCTGGAGAGTAGGCACAAGGCTACAAGAAATCCTGACACAAGCAGGTCCCAGGCTGGGCAGGCTCAGATCGCCTCATGCCTGGAGCCCAGGAGTCATAGCCAGAGAAGTGGGGCAGAGGAACTGGCACACACTGGCTCTGTGGTCACCCTTGCTGCCCCTCAGAGTGCCAGTGCACCTTCTCCAGACCCACACAAGTGCTGCCATGGGACAGGACTACAGGATCTTTGAGCTCCTCCGTTGCCCTGGCAGGCTGGGATTCGGGTCATCGCCCAGATCTCACGCAGCTTGGTGAGCCTGCATCAGGACTGCAGCGGAGTCCAAAATTTCCAACTCACTCAGAGGGAAGGGCCACACCCACCCAGGGCACTTTGTAAGCTGCCTGGGCATACTTCTTGTCTCTGTTGCCTGCCAGCTCCTACCCCAACGACAGCCCTCTATTCAGGTTGCTTATGCCCCAGGCCAAGCCACCCTGTTTCTCAACCGGACCTCAGCTTCCCGGGATCTCACCGCTCCCGTACTTTAAGCACCTGCACACATCCACACTCCTATATAATCTTCTATAGCTCCCGCTTCCTTGAGGTCCCTGGCCGGATTCCCTGCTGTGGTTTTCAAGGCTCCCTCTGCTCCTGCTCAGGCACACCAGGCCCTCTACTGGATGCACTCTGCCTGCCTTGCTTACTGGAGACATCTATTCCTTTGTTCCTTCACTCATCCTGGAAGAGTCCCCATGTTGTACTAGACACAGTTCCAGAACTGGGGAGCCTGCCTCCCTGGCAGGTCTCTAACTGTGAATCAGCTCAGTCTGGCTAACCCCACAGGAACCTGGCTTCTGGCACAACTGTCGCCCGTCCCAGTAGCTAGGTAGGCTCAGGGCAGACCTACCAGCCTCTCTCCTCCCTGTGCCCCTGAGTGGCCCAGTCCTTTAGTACCTGCAGACCAGCAAGGTCCACCCAGGCACGGGGTCCCAGGGCCCGGCTACGCAGTCGGTTTCCTGTGAGGTAGAGTTCCCGTAGCTGGGCCATGCCAGCCAGTGCCCCGCGCGCCAGGGCAGCCAACTCATTGCGCTTGACCTTCAGCACGTGCACATTTCTAGGCAGGCCCGGAGGCAGGGTTTGCAGGCGGTTGCCGGACAGGTCCAGGGAACGCAGCAGGCGCAGCTTTCGGAAGGCATCCCGGTGCATCTGCGGGCTGGTGATGCGGTTATAGCTGAGGTTGAGTTCTTCCAGGAAGTAGGTGGTGGCGAAGTCCTCACGGCCGATGCCTGTGATCTGGTTGTGCAGGATCATGAGGGTGCGAACTCGGCGGGGCAGGCCACCGGGCACGCGCTCCAGCGCGTTGTTGTAGAGGTGCACCGTGTGCAGCCGCTTGAGGCCCTGGAATGCCAACGGGTGGATGCCCTCAGCCCGCAGCTGGTTGCTGTGCAGCAGCAGATACTCAAGGCTGCGGATGGGTGTCAGCACATCAGCGTCTACGCTCTGGATGACGTTCTTCTCCAGGTGCAGCAGGACCAGGCTGCGGGGAAGGCCAGCGGGGACCCGTGACAGGTTGTTGCTGGACAGGTCCAGGTACTCCAGGCTGGAGAGCTTCCTGGAGAGAGGAGGGGACTGAGATGCTAAGCAGGAGCCCACATCCCACATCTGCCATCTCAGCAGGCCTTATCTATACACTTTGACTTCTTCCCAGAGACAGAAAGGGCAAACGACACCAGCCCCAAAGTGTCTTCTCCAGGGAAAGCAGCCAAGGAAAGCAGGCACGTGACTGTGCCCAGCTGGGAGCAGCTGAGCCTGCCAGGTGCCATGGTGATGAGGAGGATGCGGTGATACAGGGACCCACCAGAAGGTCTCATTGTCCAGGCCTTCATCGGTCAGGTAGTTGTTTTGTAGGTATAGCTCTCGAAGGTTGCTCAGCTCACTGAAGGCCCCAGGGGGGATCTTCTCTAGCTTGTTGTTCTAGAAGGAAAGGGAGGGAGAGAGGGGCAAAGTGAGAGGCAGGGGCAGGACCCAGGCCTGGGGTGAGGAGTACCAAGAGGGGCGTCGGACCTGCAGCATCTGGGTGTGCTGATAGCCCCCTCAAACCCACTCTGACGGTCGAGGCGCCCAGACGTCCGCCTACTCCCCCAGACGGCGAATACTCCTGCGATGTACTCCCAGACTTACTCGGCATCCCCACACTCAACTGGGCCGCGCTTCTCCCCCTCAGCAGTTCTGTGTCTGGCCCAGGGTCTGCCTCTTCCCCCACGGGCCCTCTCTGCTCCCCACCTTGAGATGCAACTTGTACAGGGCAGGTGGCAGATGTTTGGGCACGTGGCGCAGGAAGTTGCTGGACAGGATGAGGATCTCGACGTTGCTGGAGCCATTGAACATGTTGTCGGGCAGACCGGCATCTGCTAGCTTGTTGTTGTGCAGGTACACAGACCTGCGGGATGGAGGGACAGTCCTCACCCCACCTGGGCTCCCCGCCCTCGGCCAGCTTTGCTCTCTGTACCTTCCAAGTCTTTCTCAGGCCGAGGGCAGGGCCCGGGGCACTTTTCTATCCTCTTAACCCAGGGATGCAGAGTTAAAGAGCATCAGAACCCCCTCTCTGGTCAGGGACAGGGGCAGGGACGGGCTCAGCACCCTGCCCGAAGTCACCACATAAATTAGCGGCAGAAACAGGACTTCCTGGTCCCAGCCCAGACTCCTTCATCGGAAGTCCAGTGGGGGAGGGGGCGGTCCTGGGAGTGGTCATACCTCCTTAAGCAAGTTCAAAGAAGGGCAGCTCCGCCTGATGGAAGCTGCTCTTTCCTCCCAGACCCCACCACTCCCATACCTAAGTTCTCATTCCTCATTTACTGGACGGAGACCTCCTCATCCCTCAGGTCTCAGCCCTCCGGATCCTGAGCTCCTCTAGGCCCTGGGTGTGCCTCCTCCACCCCGAGCACAGCCCATAGCCCACAGCACAGCAAACCCCTTCTCAGGGCCTGCCTGTGTCTCCACTTTGTTTCCCCCAAACCCTCCACACTCGCCCGACACACATACATTCCCACACACCCAGGATCAACCCTCTGACTTCTGACCTCAGATTTGGCTTTTGGCCAAAGGTGAGTCCATAGATCTTAGTGAGATAATTGGCAGCGAAGTCCACACTGATCAGGGCATTTGGCAGGAATCGGGGTGCCAATGTTAGCTGGAAAGAAAAGAGACAGCAAAGACCCACAGAGGCTAGCTCTGTGCCCTGCCACTGGGTGCTCATCACCAGCAGAAAGACCAACAGAGGCTAGCTCCGGACCCTGCCACTGGGTGCTCATCAGCAGCAGAAAGACCCACAGAGGCTAGCTCTGGGCCCTGCCACTGGGTGCTAGTCGGCTTCCCTTCCCTGTTCTTCCCTGACCACCAAAGCCACTTTGCTAATGCAGAAACCTGTTCCATCATTCAAGAACACAAAATGTGCCCAGCTCCCACAGCCCTTAGCCTGGCAGTCAGAGCCCCCTGCCCCTGTCCCACACTCCTGAGCTCCTGGGCTCATGAGGAAGGGGGGTTAGAGGTCAGAAGAAACAGTGTGATTTGAAGAGTTGCTCTGGGTGGAGGGAAGGCAAGCTTCCTGTTTACTATTTACCTCTATGCATCTTGAAACATGTCTCCTTGTGTCTTGAAACATGTCTCCTTGTCCCAAATTCCCAGACTTAAATGATCCTAACCTCAGCCCTGAGTACTGGGGGCCAGGGAAACATGCCACCTCAACGGCACAGCCTTTCCCTGGGCCCAGGCTGGAATCTGCCTGCCCTTCATTGCTTTGCTCCAAGAAGCCTTCTGAGTGCCTGAGTGACAGGTGGGGCTCTCCCTCCACCCCTCCATGCTGAAGGCCTTGGCCGCTTCCTTATCAGACATGCTCTAGGTTACAGGCGGTGGTGTGAATCCCCTTCTCAGCATCCAGGGCAATGGGGACCCAGAGGCCAGGCTGGAAAGGGCACTGGAGAGTAACCCCAGAGCTCAAGGGACGAGAGAGCCAAGAGGACAGGGATGGCCGCCCACCCCAGGGAAGCCCGCCCACCCCCCGTGGCCCTCACCTTGTTGTTGGCCAGGTACAGGTAATTGAGGCTAGTCAGATGCTGAAACGCCTCCTCTGGGAGCCCTTTAAAGGACAGGTCAGAGCCCTAGATGAAGGAAATACTGCAGGGGAGCAGGCGAACCACCCATCTGCTAGGCAGCTCCCTCCCTTCCCAGTCAGTTCCAGTCTTCATCCTGTCCTGCATTCTCTCTCCTCCTCACGTGGCCCAAGCATAGAAGCGAGCAGCTAAGTGTTTGCTGGGGACTGAGTGACCTAGCCTAACCCTTGGAGGCAGGAAGGGGTGCTCCCCTGGGGATGGCCGCAGGGGGTCAGAGGCCCCTCTTCAATCTCAGCCCCACCTACAGGCAGGTGCAGCCCAGCCGGGATGGGCTCTGTGCAGGGCGAGACACATCCTCTGACAGCTGGCTTGTGAGGAGACCAGTCAGACTGGCCCCTCTCCAGCCCTGAGCTGGCCTCTGACACCTAGTTCCTGCTCCAGGACCCCCAGATGCTGGGACCGGCCCAAGGCAAAGGAGAGGGAACAGTTACATAAACCGTGGGCTGTGTCTCCATGGAATACCCGGCTCTGGGGTGTGACGTGACAGCCAGATAGAGCTCTAGCAACAGCAAGGAGAGAAACAAATTGCTAAGTGAAACAGAGCAGGCCGCCGCAGCAATTGCAGGGGATCAGCCGTGGGGTGAAAGATCTAAGATGAATGGCTGCAGATCACAGAGGCGGCTGTCCACTGCATAAACTCACCCAAACACATCAGATTGGAGTGGACTTTTAAACTGGGTCACTTAGGGCACATAAATTACATATCAATAGAGCTGCTTTCTTTTAAAATGGGGAAGGGGGAATACCAAAATCTTAATATTGATTAATTCAAAGTGGCAGGATTATAGTGGGTTTTTTTTTCCCTCTTCCACTTTGTTTTCTGAAAGTTCTATCCCAATTATGTATTATATTCATCTTCAGGGGAAAAAAAAAACAACTTAAGAATGTTGCTCTTGGATTCTTCAGGCCCTTGCAAATTGGAGAGTCCCTGACAAGGTCCCAGGAAGCTTGTGATCTCAATGCCCCAGGCCCTGCCTCCTGGGTCTCAGACACCCACAGCAGGCTCGGGTCCACATCAGAGAGCTCCCCTGCCAGCCCAACCCAAGCCTGGGCTTCCCTTCACCCCAGGGTCTGCAGAGTGAGTTCTCCCTGTGGCCACTGTGCCTCTCAGGCCTCTGAGGTTCTGTGTCCCAGACCCCGGGGCCAGTGTCCCAGCTCCTCACCTCGGGAAGTTAGACGGTTGTTCTGAAGGTTGAGTGTCTCCAGCCGCTGCAGCCGAGCCAGCTCCTCGGGGTAGATCTTCTCCAGCTGGTTGTTCTGAGGGGAGATGGGGGGGGCAGCCATTCAGGGGTGGGTACATGAGGGGTGCTGTACCTACCCTTGGCCCTAGGAGCACCCTCTCTTGGGCACCTGCCTTGGCATTCTCTCTGGGGCAGACAGTGCACCGCGGTAGGCACAAACCTGTGTGAGTCTCACTCTTAAAGAGCCCGTATGCAGCTCTCACCCACGGCTCAGACCTGCACCAAGTGACAGCACCTGGGACTGCTCTCCAAACAGAAGGCACTTAACTCCCTTCTTTGGCCCAGAGTTCCCCACTCCCCTCGGAATACTAGGTTTCTTGACCATGTGCTCTGGAAAGCTCTCCTGGGCTGGATGAAGGGTCTGATCTGGAGCCCATGGTGTAAGTTCTCGTTCTCTCTCTCTCCCTCTTTCCCTCCTTCCCTCCCTCCTGGTTTTCAAGACAGGGTTTCCCTGTGTAGCCCTGCTGTCCTGGAACTCACTCTGTAGACCAGGCTGGCCTTGAACTCACAGAGCGCTGCCTGCCTCTGCCTCTCAAGTGCTAGGATGAAGGTGTGGGCCACTGCTACCTGGCTAAGCCTCACATCTCTATCTGACTTTGTCTACTCACCTGTCTGTTTGTCTGTCTCACCCATGTACTGTGAGCACCTAAGTTAGAGTGGGACCATGCATGTCTTTCCTACACATCAAACACCCCCACACAGAACCAGGGGTACCCACAGCAGGTACATGAGACAGTCTGTGTGTGAATGGGTGGGAAAATGAGCCGATTAGGAAGTGTCTTCAATTTGGCCTTTCCTCTTATTGGCCTGCCTACTGCCTGTCTTACTCCCCCCCCCCCCCAATCCAGTGACCACAGGCGGATCTCCTGCCTTTGCTGGCTCTCCTCGGGAGAGATGTAATAGTTCCTCCCCTCCCCTAGGCCTGCCCTAGATGCCCCAGGATCCATCCGTCCAGTCAGGGGGGCCTCAGCAGGGGCCAGGACTCTCGCTCTGTGCTCTGAGCCCACTGCCTCCTGGAGTTGGATCCCCTTGTCCTGGCTTTCCTGGTCCTGTAATGGTGTTCATGGTGCCCTAGGTATTCAGCTGCTGGGCAACTCTGTGGCCATGGTGAGGCATTTTCACTCTGCAAGCTGAACAGCCCAGACTCCTCCTCCATGAACCAGCAGGCTGCATCTCAGGGCTCTGTAAGAGGGCATCGTTGGGACCCTAAGGGTGGGACCAGGGCTCATGAGGCTGATCTGCCTTGCTACCCTGAATCAGGGGCTGCAGGGGGTGGGGCTGGGAAAACTGGAGCTTCTGGGTAAGAAGGGAGCTGTGCAACCATGTCGAAGGCTTGGATTCAGCAGCTGGGGCAACCGCTGGAACAGCATCGACCTCACCTGCAGGGACAGATGGTTGGTGTGCTCGGGCAGGTCGCCTGGAAACTCACGCAGGTCAATGCCACCACAGTCCACAACACCTTCCTGGGAGCAGGCACAATCTCGGGGACAGTCGATGGGGGCTGGGCCCGGCTCTGGCTCCTCAGGACTCAGGACTAGCACAGGCTGCTCCTCCTCCACAGATTCGTTCTCCTCAGGGCTCAGGCTGTGGGCGGCACTTCGGCCAAACCCAGGTGCCCTCACGGCCAGCACGGGGCCCAGGAGCAGCTGTGGCAGCAGCAGCAGGAGTGACAGGCCCCTGCTGCTGGCCATGGTGCCTGTGGGAGGAGGTGGCTCAGGCCCACCTCGGGGCCAGGGGGGTCACTGATCACGTGCACTGGGCATGCAGTTATGGCCACTGAAGTCATGAGAGGGCCCTCCTAGGCATAAGACAGTGGCCGCCTTAGAGCTTGGTGACTGCCACCTTATCTCATTGGGGACACCCTCTGGAGTGAGGGAAGTGCCCTGAAGCCTTGAGTCAGGGCTGCAAAACCACCTCTAACCCTCACCAGCCTGGGCCCTGAGGAACGTGCACCCCGATTTCACAGAGGGAAGCTAAGGCAGGACCTGGAATTTGCTAAACTCCACATAGACAAGGTGGCAAGCCCTTGTCCCTCCCAGCAGGTGTGACCCTGCTCCAGCTCCCACCCAGGATCCCGGGACTGGGCCCTGCCCCTCTTCCAGCTCCCTCTCCCGGCACCAGCTGAGGTCCACTGGATTACCTAGTGGTCCCTCCCTCCTTCCTAGACTTTGCACATACCGTTCCTTCTGCCCCAAACGCCCCTTCCCTCTCTTGTGCCGTCAACAACTTCCTTTCCAAGAAATAACTCAAGTGTTACAGAGTGTGTGGGAGGGTAGAGTCGGAGGTTGCCCAGGGCTTAGCAATCGTTGAACAAAAGTCACAGCACCTAAGCTGAGAACCCTGCATGTGGGTACAGTCTGAGTGGCCCCAAAGCCAGGCAAAGAGGTGGCTGAGGCTGCTGCCATCCTATGACCCGATGAGTCCCACTCCGGGTGTTCAGCCACCCAGCTATCCTCACCAGGACCTGGCACGCTCCCATGACCACTGCCCCTGCAGATAACCCCCAGCGCAGTAGGGATGGGTACAGGCTAAGAATGATGCTTGGCTACCATTGTCCCGGTGGCCCCGAAGGTCAGGGCTTAGCATCACAAGGACTCAGACACGCCTCTGGGGTGTGTGGAGGTGTAACAGGCGGCAGTGAGAGGTACTGATCCCAGGACCCACAGTCCCCAGGGAAAGCCTCACCTCCCCCAACTCACTGCACCCTCACTGCACCTCGGCCTCCTCATCTGTACCGGGCAGGTGCTGTCTAAACTCACAGTCCTGTCAGGACAAAGTATGACAACAGACACAGAGCATCGGATGCCCATCAGGTGACGGGAGCAGCTGTTGCTACTTGGAGGACTCTGCACAGTAATGTGTAACGTTGCGCGCGCGCGCGCGCGCGCGGTAACATTGAGTGGCCGAGAGGTGTCCAGGTGGGTGTCCAGGCTCGGAGGTCCACTCCAGAATGGAGTGGTGGACAGCACACAAGCCAGGCTGGGTCTCTCCCACACTCCCTCAGGAAATGCAACCAGACAGCAGCAGCTAGAAGGGTCTGGCCAGAGCTTGTCACGGCAGGATCAGGGGAACTGGGAAGTCGTCGGCAGTGACGCTGAAGGGTGAGATGTGGAGACCAATGGCTGGAGCTGTGAGCCCAGCTCTGCCTCTCACGAGTGTGTGACTCTGGGCAAGTTTCGAAACAGTCTAAATTTCAGTTTCTCATCTGTCCTAGAGATGATAACGGAAGTGTCCTCCATGGGCACTCCATAGGTCAATGAGGTACACACACTAAATGCTTAATAAATGAATAAATTTAAATAAATGAGTAAATGAATGAATTTCTCCCTTCCATTACTCCAGCGGTTCTCAACCTTCCTAATGCTGCGACCTTTAATGCAGTTCCTCATGTTGTGGTGACCCTCAACCATAAAATTTTTTTCGTTGCTACTTCGTGACTGTAATTTTGCTACTGTTATGTATCATAGTGTAAATAGCTGATATGCAGGATATCTGATATGTGACCCTTGTGAAAGGGTTGTTTGACCCCCCCCTAAAGGGGTCTCAACCCACAGATTGAGAACCACTGCTCTACTTCATAACATGGTCCACCTCCCAACCACCTCATTACCCACTCTAGCATCCGCTCTCCACCCCATCCCATACGTGGTGGTTTGAGTAGGTATTGCCCCATAGACTCGTGTATGCTCATAATGCTTGGCCCACAGGGAGCAGCACTATTAGGAGGCGTGGCCTTGTTGGAGTAGGTGTGGCCTAGGAGGAAGTGTGTCACTGTGGGGGTGGGCTTTGAGATCTCATATATGCTCAAGCTACACCCAGTGACAGCTCACTTCCTGCTGCCTGTGGATCAAGATGTAGAACTCTCAGCTCCTTCTCCAGCACCATGTCTGCCTGCATGCCTCCATGTCCTGTCATGATGACAATGGACTAAACTTCTGAAACTGTAAGGGAGCCACCGCAATGAAATGTTTCCCTTTATAAGAGCTGCCATGGTCATGGTGTCTCTTCACAGCTTCATTAAAACACTAAGACACCATGTCTAGAACCCATCTAGACTTCTTGGTCTGGTTGGTCCCAACCCATCTGCTCTAGATGGGCTGTAGAAGATGCTGCACTATTCTAGATACTGCTCTGTGCTCTTATTGCCTCGGATGCCCCATCCTGCACCCAGCCCTGGGCCCTGGAGACAGAGGTGAGGGAGATCACATGCCTGTCCTGTCTGGAGTAGGTGATACCATAACCACTACCCACTCAGATCCAGGTGGCAGTATAAGGGGTCCCTAGGAAGACGAGATATCCCAGGGAAAGGGTAGGAAGAAGAGGGCAACAGCCAGGTCCCTTGACCATACAATCCACGTGGCCTAAGCAGACTTGAGCCCCGGCCCGCTAGTCTGGCAGAACCAGAGAGTCCTGCAGATACCTAGCTCTTAGTGAGCAGAAGTGAATGACATGGGCAGCAGCCTGGCCCTCCATTCCCCAGCCACACCTCTACAGGTCATTAGCCTCCCCTCCCCCCATAGCTGATTCCACAGACTTCTGGCCAGAGCAGCTGGGAGTGGGGGGTGGGGGGTGAGGGGTAGGAGGGTAGGAGGGTAGGGGGGTGGGAAGTGAGCCTCAAATTTACTCAGAGCAGAAGGCCAGGGAGCGGACGCAGGGAAGGAGCCGGCCCTCGCGTATACAAGGTACTCACTGGACAGGCTGGCTTTCTTCCCTCACCTTTGGCTTGTCTCCATAAAAATCCACAGGCTTATCTGTACAAATACATAATTTATATCAACATTCTGAACCAAACTGAAAATGTTTTCTTCACTGCTTTAGAGATCAGAGAGCTGAGGCCCCTGGGATCAGCTAGTGTAACAGCTGTTACAGGGCTGAGCTGAGCTTCGGGGCTTCTGCATTTCCCATGATGCTCTTGTGGGGGCCGAGCACACCAAGTACTGGGGTTCTACAAGGAAGCCTGGGGCAGGCTCCTGGCTAAGAGGTTCACGATGCCCTGTCTACTCCAGCAGCTACCACATGGGCCTATGAAGAGCTTAAGGTATGGTGCTAGTCCACATTGAGAGATGCTCTAAAGAACACACTGTGTGTGTAGAGATTTTAAGGGCACTGCAAAAAAGAATGTAGAACATCTCATTAACACTAATGATATAGAGCTCCTCATTAATTTTATAATGGTTAGATAATACTTCTAATATATTGGATTAAGCAAAATTAAGTTTACTTGTCTTACTTTAAAAAATTATTTGTTCTAGGCATGGCGGCGCACGCCTTTAATCCCAGCACTCGGGAGGCAGAGGCAGGCAGAGCTCTGTGAGGTCAAGGCCAGCCTGGTCTACAGAGAGAGTTCCAGGACAGACAGGGATATATAGTAAGACCCTGCCTTTAAAAAAATAAAAACTGGCCAGGCAGTGGTGGCACACGTCTTTAATCTCAGTCCTTGGGAGGTAAGGGTAGGCATATCTCTATGAGTTTGAGGCCAGCCTGGTCTACAGAGTGAGTTCCAGGACAGCCAGGACTACACACACACACACACACACACACACACACA